ACTTCAGTTGTAGGTGGTCAGTTGTGAACGCTGGATAAAAGTCCTCGGGTACCTTTTGGGCTGTTGCTATGGTGCCGTGTACAACAGTACAGAAACCCACAATCCTGCAAGGTGGGTTGACACAGATGGGGCGGGGGGGGGAGTGATGGGCCCAAAGTCCCTTCAGGAGCTTCCATGGCCAAGGATGAACTGCAACCTGGTCTCCATGGTGCCAGTCCAACACCTACAGCACCATGCCACACTGGACTAAACCTCACATAAGGCACGCTGACAGTTGTAAGGCCAGTGCAACATGGACGATCTGGATTGAAACTGATGAGGCCAACCCAAGCCTAATAGCCTGGCTCTGTTTGCAATTCTATGGAAATTGGAGATGATTGTAAATTAATCCATTATTTACTAAAGAGGTGCCACTTTCAAGCTGTTTCTTAATTCTGTTCTATGGAAACTGAAAGTTGGCATAAAATTTTAGCATCACAATTCTCTGGAAATTGGAGATCAAAAATTCTTATTACATCTTTGTGGAAATGGGAGAATGTAATAAATCTTTAAGTTGACATCTCTTAACCTAGCTTTCTTTGGAAGATGGCAATCACGCTACGAGAAAATATTAATCATTACATAGGTAGGAGTAAAATTCGAACTTCTCAAGATCTGGTTGGTTGCTAGGATCTCAAACTTTTGATTTCTGCTTTCTCAGTTTGTATATAAAATAGCATCTGTCCCCAACTTTCATGATCTGCAGCGTCTCTTCGACTGAAGCATTAATCCCCAGAACAACCGTTGACAGCATCTCTCAAACTTCAGGGAGGAAAGGGTGAGCATTGTCTTAGCTTCTCAACTTTTCATTCCAGATTTTCTTTAGCCAACTCAATCTGTGGATAGGCAGTTACCAGGAGAGAAAGATCAGCTTGATGAAGCCAAGGTGCCCTCCTTGACCACATGCATTCCGGGTATATTGCATAGTACTACATGGGATGAGAGGGAGGCAACAAACCCCTGATTTTGTGATGAAGATGTTGTTGAGGCTTTGGAACAACAGAGTATTGGGCAAAGCAAGGCCCTTCTATGGAGGTTCTGCAAACCTCAGTGATCTGCCTGGGAGAGAAACTGGATGCAGAGATTTGTGCTGCATTTCTGAAGGCCACCCTGCACTCTGGAACCATCTCTGTTCTAGGCTTGGAGCCTCCTGAGGTCAGAGTAAGCTTCAGGACTTACCAGAAAAAAAGGTCTCCAAGTCTTGGGAGCGGTTGATGGACCATTAAAGGGGTGACAGTTCCATAGCTCAGCTCAGGCCTCTCTTGGAATTTTCCCTCTCTTTCATTTGGCAGAGTCAAGCGGGTGTTGGGCTTGGAAGATTTCTCACCATGGGGAAAGCCATGGCAGAGCAGCTATACCTCAGAGATGAAGGTGCAGTCCCAGGCCAGCAAAGTACGTAATTATTTTCAAGCCACTGTTCGGATGTTACAAATGTAAGTCTACATCAGCTCTTTAATGCCTACTGACTCTTTATTTTTTCCCTTTTACAGAAAAAAGTAATAAATATATTTATTGTGAAGCTCTGGCTAAGACTTTAGAAGATATCACTCCACCCATCACGGTGGGATTTTTTGCCCCATGGGGGAGAAAAAAAAGAAGACTCCTAGATAAAATTGAAGGTAAGCATCAAGGTTCCCACGCAGATCATCAAAAATTATTTAAAAATTGCTGAAAAGTCGAGTGAGGTTTTCAAGAGATGCCAAAGCTCCAAACAGACATGTGGCCCTGCCCCGTTATTGCACAGATTCCCCCCATCAGTGAAAGTGACGTATCTTGAGACCTCAGATAAGACATTTGCAAAGATGGGTTCCAATAACCTGTGTTAGTCTCTGTTTTCCCCTCCATGCAAAACACTTGGCCCTTTTGTTGAGGTCAGGGCCTTTGTAGCAGCAACTCAGGCACACAAGTCAAAATGGGTTGGGGGGGCTGGGCAATAAGCCTGCTGGTCAAGCTGGGCTTCTGGGTAATGCCAGGTATGGACTGGCATGTCGCCCGGAGCAGCCAATTTCCAAAATTCCCACTCAGGGCCTGCTGTCCACCATGGAAAGGCGATGCTGGTCCTTCAAGGGTTCGAGAGTCTTAAAAGGGCTTCTCCAGAGTTCTGGCCAAGAGTGTAGAATGATTCCCGCTTTTAAATTAACATATTGCTTTTTGAGTTAGTAAGGATGCGGTATGTTTGGTTCTTGTGAACAACTTCACAAAAAGCAACTTTAGTTTATCCCATATCTCAGTAATCATGGGTTCTATTTAAATTACTTGAAAATCCCCTTTGAAATCAGTGCAACAATAAGTCAAACTTTCTGATCTTCCATTAATTTCAGTTTGTCTTAGTTGTATTTCATTCTGAACAGAACCCATAAGTTCTAGAAGTAACTCCTTTAGTAAGGCACCATATACGCATACCTTAAATAAGCGTTGTGTGTATAGCAGTATGTTCTACAAATCTTCTCTTCATGTTCCCGATATTTCATTAAGGCATGACAATGTGCTCTCTTTAATATTTATTTTTAAAGACACTTGTCAAAAAAGAGAAAAGCAAAGGAGGAAGTGAGGGGGAAAAGAAGAAAGACTCTTAAATGTTAAGTATTAGATATGAATTTCAGAGACTGAAAAAAAGAGAAAATCATAGGAATTATCTGTCAAATAATAAGTATGATCAAGAATTTCTAATTAATCTGAAGCAGCCCATCCTGAAGCTTATGACCAATCCGACAGACCCTCGTGTTTTAATAAAGCAAGTTTTAAAAAAGGCAAACTCTGAACGTGGCAGCGGTTTATGGGTAGAATGATAGTCTGTAAGTCCTTTCACCTTTTTCTTTCATCTTTTCTATTTTGATTACGCATTTGTTATACTGTTTTTTATATTGTGTTGTGAGCTGCCCAGAGTCATTCTGGAGTTGTGCAGCGCCTAAACCGAATAAACAGAGAAACAAATCGATCAATAAGAGAAAGTGTTCTGAATCTAGTAGCCTAAATCCTCCTGTTTAGCGCTGGCAGGCTGAGTCTGCGATAAATTAAACTAGTTGTGATTGTCAAGGAAAAGCAACGTTGACTCAAGAGGAAAGGATCTTTTAAATCATGGTAAATCTGGGGATTTTCAGGCCATAATGAAACATTTTCTGGAATCTCTCTGGAGATTCTTTTCACGATTGGTGAGAGGTCTCCTTATTGTGACTACGTGAAGATTTTTCCAGTAACCTGTGGCATTCAGTATATCGAAACTAAAACATGTAATTTGTACATCTTGCTTGTAGGACACCTGAAAGAGAGTCAAAATTATACTGGAAGAGAAAAAGCAAGCAGCATTCGTAGCATGCTTTCACTCTTTTTTCGTATAATGTTTTTCCAACCACTAAAACCGGAGGAAGAAGCCAGGTACTGTATATATATTTGGTTCTCATTAAAGCTTTAAAAGTAATTCTGTCAGAGGACAACCTTGTTGCGAGTTACTTCAAGTTAGGCAGCACAACGTTAAACCTGGCCTAGCCCCGGAAAAGCCAGGCAGGGCCAGATCTGGTTAATTCTTGGAGGGGAGCCCACCAGGATCATAAGCTAGCCTGGGAGCTTGAAACCCCTCCCGGAAGAAGCCAGTGGGCACCTCTTTGGCCTTATGGCCAAGACAGTTGCCCCGACTTACCCTTGAAGTCACTGTTTATTGTTTATTTTGTGAATGAGGACTGTAAGGTTAAAAAATTAAGAAGTGAAGTGATTCATACTTTTCCATTCTTCTTCCAGACAAAAAAAAACATCTAAAAACGGTGTCCGGTATGTCTTCATCGGCTTCAATGCCTGGGAATACGTGGGCTGTGACTATACTTGGGCCGGCATCGTTACGACGTTGTTGGATGAAATTGAAGTACATCATAAATGGTGCCTTGCAGCTTTTCGATACTTTGGTACCGATTTCAAGGAAACGTCTAATGGAAAAAAATGGACTTTAAAGACATGGGGTAGCATATTCTTTGGGGGCTCTGTGTTTGTATACCTTTTGTTAATTCCCCTTATTTCCTCGCTGTCAGAGGTGGCTCCAATCTCATTAGCTGGCGGCGCCTTAGCTTCTATTCTTGTTCCTTTCCTTCCTATATTGAAAAACTTTATTTTCACAATGAAAAAGAATATGCAGAAAGAAATGAATAGAAAGGATCTTAGCACCCAGCTGGGCTTCATGCACTCTGTAAAAAAAGAGGTTGAAACCATGATCAAGTTCTTAAAGGTTTTGGAGTTTCATGAGGAAAATGAGATCCGGGTGGTCCTAAGAATCACCAATTTGGACTTATGTACTCCGGACAAGGTAGTGTCTGTTCTGGATGCCATCAGGATCCTCCTCTCTGACCCCACAGCTCCATTCATCTCCATCTTGGCTGCGGACCCAAGCATCCTTGTAAGATGTATTCAGAAGTCCAGTAACACCTGGAGAAACGGCTATTTATACCTGGACCGGATCGTGTCCCTGCAGTTCTCCCTGCCACCAATGAACCATATGGAGAAGCAGAAGCTGCTCTCCAAAGCCCTTAAAATCAAGCGTCAAGAAGTTTGCACCACCGTGCGCGTTGACGTGGAGGGGAATGAAAATGAAGCTAAGAACGGTTCCATGGAAAGTCCAGGCGTTAGGCTTTTAAAGAGTAAGGAAGACATGAGCAAAGTGGTATCAGCTGAAGAGACTGGCAGGAACAATAAGATTGCTGACTTGAGAAGGTTAGTATATGAAAAATTAAAGGATAGTGATTATCTCCCAGGGAATTATGTGGAAATGAATCGGGTGGTAAATACAGCGATGACCATCCAGTACATGCTGGAGTTTGGATATGAATTTGACTCCAATTTGAGGGAAATGTACAAAGAAGAGTTGAATGGTGTCATGATAGATTGGGTGATCCTGGCCAACTCTTGGCCCTGCCACTTGAGCTGGCTTTTGCAGTGCGAGGAAGACAAGCGGCAAAGAGCCTCCCCGCATGAGAAAGGGGGAGCCAGTGAAGACAGCCAAGAGGCCGCTACTGATGACAGTAACAGTCTTTTCAGTATTTACCAGGAAAACCATAATTTAGATAAGTTTAAGATTCGGGAAGCCAGTCAAAACAGCAACAGCGGAGACGGCCAAAGGGCAGCTACTAGTGATGATAAGAGTCTTCTCAGTATTTACCAGGAAAACCGTAATAATTTAGATAAGATTAAGGAAAAGATTCAGGAACTTCTGGAACTGGATCAAGATCCTGACCTCTTTGAAAACATGCTGAAGGAAAATAAAAGGTATTTTACAGCAAAGGGGGCCGAGTCTATTCCCAATCTGCTCATTAATCTGGATTTCTCCTTGAAAAGGAAGTTTGAGTTGCTGGAAGATCTGCACAATACTTACAGGAGACAAAATGAACAAAATTTGGACCCTCCTAATTCCCCAGATGGGGAACCAAGAACTAACAAGTGAAATACAAGGCTTTTTACAGGTAATCCTCACTTTACAGCACTAGTTGGGACCAGAAACTCTGACATTAAGCGACATGGTTGTAATGTGACCACACCACTGCGACAGCAGTTCTGGCAGCCCTGGTTGCCATCGTTAAGTGAGGACCTCATGTGATCCCGACTTGTGACTTCCTGCTGGCTTCCCTTTTGGCTTTGCTTGTGGGAAACCAGCAGGGAAGGACAAAAATAACGGCCACGTGCATGCCGGTTGCCAAGTGCCCCAACTGTAATCCCATGACGACAGGGACACTGCACCACCGTTACTATGAGGAGCAGTTGTAACTACCCCTCCTTCAGTGCTGTCATAAGTTTGAACAGTTGCTGAACAAGTGGTCGTTAAACCACACTATGACATTAATGTAGTAACGTCACCTGTTGCTACACCAGTGTAATGCAAAATGTATTTACTATAATTCTAGTGACCCAGTATCTACTTGTCTATATATACACTAAGAGAATTTACTGCAGGTGTACTACCAGCATTAGGTGATCCAAACCTTTGCTTTTACCCTGTTTTTAAGAGCCAAAATAATCAGGTACTGCACAGCTTGGGAACGCTTGCCTGGCCGTTACAATCCCAGGGCTTCCTATGCCCTCCCCTTGTACCCCAGTTCTCCAGCCCCTGGAGACCCCCCCGGCCTTTGCTCTGCTGCCATCTGTAGTCCAGGGCTGCGTCCTCCTTTCTGGGGCTTCTTTGCAGGGCCCTCCTCTGGGCCGCATGTCTCTTCCTGCCCCGGTGGCGGATGGCCTGGCTCCTGGCTCTGCCAGCGAGGTTTCCTCTGCTGCGCACCCCGTCCAGTCGCCTCTGACTCTAGCAGCATCTCCTGCCGAACCTGGAAGACCCCCTCCTTTTTTTGTCTACCTCCGCTGCCTCCTTCTTCTAGATCTTTCCTTCACACCCTACACACCAGCTTGCAGGCAGTTCTCAGGAGTTCAGACGTTTTGTTTCCCCTCCTCTGTAACTGCCTCTATGTATGAGCTGGTCCCCCGAGAGTCAGGCCACCCAGGAGAAAAAACTTGTGATAATCAGTCTTGCGATTTAGCTAAAAGCAGGCAGGCGCTTGGGGTCCTCAGCCAGCACGAACAGGAAAATAAGCAACAGCGTTCACTGCCGGAGCTTACAACAATCGCCCGAGAATGGTTAACTTTAGATGGGGGAACCAAGCTTATTCAAGACAACAGGTAGGTTAAAACAACGTCAGCCATCATTTTAAGCCCTTTTAATTAAAGGCTCCATTGCGTAAATAAATGTGATTTCATTTTATCCCCCCACCCAATAATTTCTTTTTTGTATCGGTTTTAATGAATTAATCCAATCTGTAAGCATAACCTGATCACACGGTCTGCCATTGTCGCTAATTGACTGTAATTGTAATGTAACCAATGAAAATCACATCATCTTTGCGTAAGTTGATAAAGCGGGCTTGTAACCCCACCCTCTTCAAGTCTCTGCATTTTGGCCTCCAGTCAATAAATCAGTTTGTGCCTTTAACGCGACTGTGTCTTGGTCTTAAATGGGCCCCTAAGGGAGACGCTTCTCCTTCCACGCCAAGAAAACCCACGCTGGGCGGGCAGGTGAACTGCTAGCGTGCGTCCCCCTGGGCGGGCTTGGCTTTGACTTCCCACGGACGGACGGACGGACGGACGGCACTGCCCGCTGTAGTGAGATCCGTGGCCGCGTGACACGCAGGCCGCAGTTCGGTCTTAACGATTAGCAACGTGTGGCGGGTCCGGGTCAAGTGCCATAGAAGCAGAAGCAAAGTCCGCTGAACGATGGGCGGATTCATCCCAGGACCGCCTTCAAACTGGCTTATCTCTGCCCGGGGGGACACGGCAGCCTCTCCGCGTTGAGACCCCGAAGCCCCACAGGGGAACTCCTGATTCTGTGCTGAGCGCGCGGCGGTGAAACTCGCAGGGAGCTCCCCCGTCACAGCCTGCCTGCCGGGCAGCGGAGCCGCTGCGCGCGCCAGCAGCGGGACTTCTGCTTCTCCTCCGACGGCCTCCCTCCTTCTGACGACGGAAAAGCAACGAGCGGAGACTCGAAGGGCGCTCCGCAGAAGAGAGCCGTCAGGAGCGCGGGCCCCGGCTGCAGCCGTGCCAAGGGCGGGAGCGCGTCGGGGCCGGTCTTCGTTCCCTCGCGGC